TTCTTTAGGAGACCCAAACCAAACAACAACACTCACATTTTGTCACCTTGGACTCTGTCAAAAAATAAATTGTTTTTCCAAAAAAAAAAAATCAATCAATTCGTGTCTGTCCTCCCAAAAAAAAAACCAATAGGATAAATAATTAATGTGTACGCATTGATCAAATCACAAACTTCTTTTTATTTTTTTTTATTAAAAAAAAAAATGTATAATCAAAACAAAAGAAGAAGAAATAAAGAAAAAGAAATGAGGAATGATGAGTAAGTGTTTTAAGGATGGTGGTGGTTATCACCCGCCACTCATTGTTACTCTAGTTTATTGTAAGAATGGTTGCATGGAATTCTAATTTTAAAAAAAAAACAATTGGAATCAAGAATCCAATAAAAAGACAAAAAGGAAGTAACAAAGAACAAAAAGAGTAAGTATTATTAGTTATCATTTTTAAAAGAATGATGGTGGTTGTAATTGTCATGATATATAATATTTTTTTTAACATGTTGTTGATTATTATCATTATTTTTTGACACTCTTCATCTAAGAAGAGAAGGTGGCACTCATTTAGATGAATACAAGGTAATACTAGTGATAAATAATATTTAATATAATTTGTTAATTTGGAATTCTTTAACAGTAACATAATTATAATTATACAAATTAAAATATATATTAATAATGCCAATTTAAATTATATAATTAATTAGCTTAAAGAATATCAAATTAAAAGAGATGAAAATGATTTATTGATGATGGTAGGAATGCATTTGTAGATGATGAAATCAACAAGGAAACTGACGATTCTCAATATGATATTAGGAAAGACAAAACAAAAAAATGATGATGATGATAAGGTAAAAACATTAAGCTTATTGAAAACACCAATACATGTGGCTGTTGCAACTGAACAAAAACTTGTCACAGTAATAACTATTCTTTCAGATCATGTTATTACTATTGTTATCTGATAAATAATTTGATTTTTGCAAATTAATTTTTAAATAGGATAAGTCAACTGAAGATGAATCAAGTTTTATATCACAATTATTTAATGATAATTACATAGAAAATCTATCTGGTTTTATGAGCAGGTTCCCATATGACATAATTATACTGATCTTCAGATATTTTGAACCAAAAGTTCTTCTATGCAAGTTGCAATTGGTTTCTAAAAAATGGAGAGAAATAATTATTAATTCAGATTGCTTATGGATAAATTTTTTATCAGAAGATGGTGTTGATCTAAACAATATACATAGAAATTTATCTATTTCACCTTCATCAAATCATTTATATAGTGATATATATCACAAATATTGTATCTTGAAAAAAAACTGGATTTGTGGTAATTACAAAGAAACCTCCATAAAAGGCAAATTCAATAATTATCCTCTGGTTCTTCAAATGGATGGAGAAAAAATAATCATAAATTCTGCTTTTAATGATATAAATATTTATGAAATTGCAACAGGAAGATTAATTAAAACACTTGGTCTTAGTAAAACAATTAATTCATTACAATTTATTGACAACACATTGGTTTCTAATTGTGTTGATGACCAAATGATTCGTGTATAGGGTTTGTATTCATGAATATCATAAGGGGGTCACACAGGGTCACACACTATTAAAATCAAGTGATCAACTCAT